ACTCGCAGAAGAATGCAGAAAACAATGAATAGGAAATTGGAACATTCAATGACCGATCAGTCTGCTGCCACTATGTTGCACAAATGGCACAATTTGGATCAATTTGGATCAATTCGGCAGATTGTAGAATTTGTAAACCAAGTTCTCTGCAATTTGTCCAACGTCTGTGTGTTCACCCACTCGTCCACCTGCTCGGCCTCAGTGCGCCAGTAATTGCCAGCCTTTCGCCCTTGTGGCAGCGCAGTTCCAGGGCCCAGTCAGTTGCAGCCAGTCGCGGCGAACCACTGCAACCACCTGTGGACAACTTTTGGGCTGTGGATATCTGTGAGTTAATGTGAGTTAATGTGAAATATTGCACAATTAGTGACATGAGTGTTGGCTGATCTGAATGACCGGATGGCTGATCCGCTCCCGCCATCTCCATCATCATGAAGCCACCAGAACAGAGCACCTGGTGAAGAAGTCGAATAGGTGTCAATATCATCAATATACAATCAATATATCATCAATATAACATTTTTCGATATAATCTGTTTTTTTTGTGACTTCGTTTGACTCGTTTGACTCGTTTGACTCGTTTGACTCATTTGACTTAGACATCGTGCATCGCGTGCAGTGTTGTCAATGTGAGTCCTTGTGGACTTGGATGCTAGTCTTGCAGGATCAATGCGCAACACTGACAGACATGAAAAAAGATCAGTATGATTTATGAATTTTGATGAATTTTGAAAATTCATTGAATATATTAAAATGGCCGGGATGCACAGCCAAGTAAGCCTCCCACGCTCTAATGCCACATCTTGTTCCATCTCCAAAGCGCGTCGCATCCAGAGCATCTCTCCCTCAGGTTCAAAATGTTCAAATCACAGCCAGAATGGAATCCCATGAAGATAGGCCTTGATTGGACCTACGATGTCCGGAGAGATATGCAAACTGAGTGTCACCATAATATTATATTGAAATCTATATAAATCTATATGGTATGGTGCCTATAAAAGATGGTAAAAGCATGTAAAAGCATGTAAAAACAGTATCAGTCTTAAGAATCGACACTTATTCTGCTTGACCTTCACCACTTCGAGCCCTTCTCACCCTGTCCCTGGACTCAGCACGACCAGGACTCGGCGAATCTCCAGCTCTAACTTTGCGCTCAACCTTGACCCACAATACCCACGATGACCCACGTCAAATCACCGTCAAATCGTCGGATGCACATAATGCACATTCCAAGACCGCAGTACAACAGATCAGAAATCATTTGCCATCATGAAAGGGAGCAAAATTTGAAAATAATTGTAGGAGCACTATATATTCGTTTTGGCTGGACAACGGCATTTGGCAAAGCCCATCGTATCAATCGTGTTTTATGCAGGAGAGCAAGCTGTCTATGCAACTGGCGTTGAAAGAACTCACTCTTGGATATTTGTGCCAAGCTGCGGCCAAGCGCGCGTTGGGGCACTGACCCTGCACAAATTGGAGGCATCGGGCACCATGTTGTGACACGGCCAAGTGCAGAATTAAGAACCTCCTAGCAGTGCAGACCGTATCTACATGTATCTACCATAATCATGGCAAATCCAACATAGGCCTTTGTGACAGGCTGTCATGCGATGAACGACACATATCCACAGAGTCACTTCAACGTAAGTCTGGGCGTCCGGCTGTCTTTCAAACATGCCTTGAGAAGCTCCGGCCTCTGTCTCAATGTGTCTAATCTTTCTGACGCGTTGCAGGGAACGGAATGTTTCTGGGAGGATCTGTTAGAAACACGGCTACTAAAATATACTAAAATGCAGTTGTTGATGGCAGCCCGATCAAAACTTCCAGCACCACGAGCCAGAGAAATCCTGGGCGTCGGACAAGCCGCCGCAAATCTGCAAGCTTTGTGGAGATGCTGCGCAGGGCCAAAGCCTGAGACGAGAATCACACAAGTTTGGACGCAATCAGAATCACAGTTCAGCCTCTTCCATCATCTTCCCATTACTTTGGTCACTTTGGTCTCGTCACCACAAGGAATTGTGTGCAAGTAGCGCTTCACCAGCTGTGCCAGCTATGCCAGTCTGACAATGATCTTGATAAGTCTAACTCCATCTGATCCCTCAATCGAGTCTTCAAAGGGCTGAAAAAGCTGAAATCATCGAAGTGCGCACTCTGGAATTCTATTCTTGAAACCGTCAAGATGAAAGAGCCTGATGCCTGAAGTCATTTGGATCAAGATCTTGCATCTTTACAGCAAGGGTGGAAAAAGGTGGAAAAAGGCTCCAAAGGTCTGGGCCCATCTGGTTCGCAGCTCAGTGTCCAGCTGTCCTGTGTGCCCAAGAAATGACAGCATTTGTTTGGTCTCTGCCGTCTCTGCTGTCTCTGCTCCTTTGCTTCATACTTAGAGTATCTTGAAGGGAACAATTCATTGTCGCGTGATGTAACTTGATGTAACTTGCGTCTTGCAACGTTTTGCCAGGCCTAAAGGGATTTGTCTTGCAGCTGCTGCTGCACCTCAATGGCAGGGTGTGTGGCACAAATCTGTAAGCTGAGGCTTGGAATGCGCACAGATCAGCCCCCTGTGCTTCCTGGTTGTCCAGATTCAGCAAGTAGCTATAAAATTAGATAAGTAGATGCCAGCAGGCAGTGCATGGCCGAGTTTGAATCGTTCTACTTCCACATCCGCACATAGATCCGCAATCACCCGCACTTCTGCTGAGACCGGCACTCGCTAGCAATGCTACACCTGCAGCAGCTTCAATGGCCCTTGGCAGCACCTGTCAAATGAAGAAGGGTGCTGAAAAGGTCAGGCCATGTACCGGCGGCATAGGCACACATTGTTTGTTTGCTTCACTCCAAGGAATATCAATGTAAAGATATTGTGCGTATTTATGTGTATGTGTAAATATATATATACACATATATACATATACATATTATATATATATGTGCGTGTCTGTGTGGCGGTGTGATATTCGTGCGTGATCATATGTTACACAATTACCGTTTGAGCATACACGTTATATATCGTGGCATATATATATATATACATATATCATATGTGTATATGCATATGGAACTAATTGGAAATAGATGCGTGCATGTAATTATATGTGTTAGAATAATTATTGGTTTAGAAAACGTGCTCTTGATCACATGTACTTTTTTGGCCAACCCACTCTCTTGACTCCCTACATCTCCCTACCGAGTGGCTCTGTTGGGATGCTGTTGCAATTTTTGTGCAATCCGTGTACCCCGTGCACCTGCTGAACCAATGCATCAACTGCAGCTCGACGTGTTTCCATGCGCTGCCTGGAGCCTCAGTATCTCATAGGCGCGGCAGGGCAGCTGCAGGATAGATTCACATCAGTCGGAACATGTTGAAACCTTGGAATGAATTTGAATCATAATCCATAAGCTTATCAAATCTATTCAAATCTTATCAGATTGTAACAACTTATATTTCAATTCGAATGCGTTGAAGCTCATCCAGGTGGCACTGTGTGGTAATTATGCATTTCAAGTTTCCGAAAGAGAACGGCGATGAGTATCCATGAGTATCCATGATTACCACAATGATTATCCATGATTAGCGTGAAAGCAATGCATTCGCAATCCTAAGCCAGATCCGCACAGGTCCACGTCACAAGAAACCAGGTCTGGGAATGTCTGGGAGTTCCGACACTGTGAGCACGAAAGCATGACCTCGATGAAACTTGGAGCACCGAAGCAACACAATGACAACATCTTATGACATCTTATGACAACCCTGACGGGTGACTTTACAAACACGTTCTCTAAACATCATCTCTAGGACTCTAGGAACATTCTGGGAACTAGGCTATATATCTTCACATGATATCAATACGGTGCAGATGTAAATGAAAGTGTTGGTCTCTCAGGATAGAATCATTCTGCTTCAGCAGTTCGCTATTGAGCTTTTTGCCGCAATGAAGTAGAAAATGGCAGCAGCAAAGAAGCCCGCACAGACCTTTGAGAAGAGCATTTTAACACATCTGCACCAAGGGTCTGCAACAGCTATGGCAGCAAAATATACTGCTATAACATGCTATAATGAATTTCAAAAGTCTGTCAAGTATCGCTGCCTTGCCTCTGGCCCCTCGTAGTTCTTGATAGCAAAGACAGAGCAAACCTGACCGCGCTGCAAATCATCACAGAGATCTTTGAGGTCAAACGATAAAGGAAGGTGAACGGCTTAGAGTAGAGTAAACAAGTGCAAGGGAGGTTGATGCAGGTCAGAATGTGCCCCAATGCGGGACCCTGCGTAGCGCCACGTTACATTGTACTGTCAGTCGCTGTTTATGATTTTCGCTGCCTCTAGCCCAAGAACAGCAGAAGGCTTGTACAAATAATGCGAAGACATGCAAAATCAGACATGGAAGTCCTACTTGGCCAACTACGGCCTACTAGTTGCCTGCCCGCGAGTTGTCCTGTAATTCACCCAGGAATTAATGTGCAACCATCCTGGTATGCTCAACATTGCGCAAGTTCGAAGATGGCCACCGTGCAAGCACTTGCCAAGGCTCTGACAATTGCAGCTGCAGTCAAACAAATTCCAATAACAAAGCTGGACAGCCCAGGGCCTCCGATGTGAGTACAGCAGGAAGCAAGCAGAATCAGGGCAATATATAGATTAATATAGATTCCATGAAAACGACAAATGACTGAAGAATGACTGAAGAATGACTGAAGAATGACTGAAGCAGGCATCGAGCACTTCAAGTCAGCCAGCTTGGTGTTGCAACATGTTGTAACTTGATTCCTTGTGTTCACACATGTTTACACTGGGGCACTGGCCCAGTCGCAAAGCACCGACAGCGCTCCAAACGATGACCAGGGCCAACAAGATCCGTAGCACAAGCACCTCAAGGGTGAAACAAAAGCAATCGCAACAAATCGATTGAACAATTCCGAATCAGAGGGAACACGCTTGAGAACATGCCGTGCAACGCTCTCTGCTAACTTTCTGCATCTTTCTGCGCCCTGCCACAGGCCATGCTGCAGGCTTTTTTTGGCGCTGATGGCGGCACTTTCTGCGGGTCTTTGCATTCAGAATTTGACGTCTTTTGTTGCTTCTAAACAGCCTGACCCTGTGGAATCCAGCCACTTAAGTTGAGGATGAGCATGAGCATGCATAGGTGTTTTGAACGTGTTTGAGTCTCTCATCTGAGAGGTGAAACGTCAAAGAAATGCCAAAAGGCACTGCAAACGCTTCTGCTCGAGTTGCTCTTCCCAAAGGCGATGTTCCGCTGCCATTTGCGTGTTGGCCCAGTCAAACCTCAGGTTTGGAATGAAGAAGTCACGCCTTACAGCCAACATCAGCCCCTCTTCGGCCATCTTTGAAGCAAAAACTATTCAAACAATAGAGATTGAATAAACAATCGCGGCATAGCCACAAACGCTGTCACTGGTGGCAGCATCTACCAAACAAAATGCCATCTTGACTGCAATCACGGGCCCATTTTGACCAAGCACTGAAATTGTCAGCCCCTGCCAGCCTGCGTCTGAGCCAAGTCATGAAGCGCACGTGAAAACATACAAACAAATCAGAATTTATAAGTATATACATGTGTGTGTGTGTCTGCGTGCGGGGGTGTTCGTTGGAAGCACGTGTGATTACTGAAATAATATTCATATGCAGAACCGAACATACACATGGACACATACATGTACAAACAGTCATATACACGCACACAATAAATATGTATATTATATATTATATATATATATGTGTGTGTGTGAGTGTGTGTGTGTTTTACCGACAAAAGCGATGTATACTTCATGTCTATGCATGACATTTAGAGATGGTAAATGACCAGTGTGCGGCACTTGAATTTTGCAGTGCCCCAAATTTCATGTCCAGGCGCTGCTCGAAAAAATCTTGCACCACTGCGGTCTCGATAGCTGAAGGGCTCTGCTCATTCTCTGGCAACCTTATCGGCAAAAAGGATGTGTGAGATAAGAGGATTAGAGCAACTGGCAAGCACGCTGATTTATCCCCCAAAACTGCTTTGAAGACAGTCAGGGAAAACTGGGGAAATGCACCTGCTGCACCAAAGGCCTTGTGAGGCTTCAAATTTACATACATATTTCTACGCGCCAGTTTCTGCCATGCAATTTCCACAAGAGCTACCCAGCATTTGTATGTGCAACAGTGTGCCACCTCAGCCTAAAGAGTGTCTCGCTGCTCACCCGAAAGGGGCCAAATGCCCAACACCATGACAATGACAACGATGACAATAGTGCTCCGACATGCTTCAAGCAAGCAAACATAAGCAAACTGGATGTGTGTGGCCGCATGTTGCCACAGCCTTTTCCCTCTGCCACATGCCGGAGGATCAATTCATATATCAATTCAGTACATGTCATTCCATCTTCTACTGTATCTACATGTATTCTACATGTATTCTACATGTATACATTGTATCTACCGCATGGCCGAGGCGACCTTCCATCCATGTGCCAAGCTGCACGGGCACGAGGTCACAGGTTGTATCACACGCCTGACACTGTCACAGAACATGACCAAACGACTTACAAACAGCTCCTGGGCTCAACAATCTCAACATGTTGTGGACAGTCCTGCCCATGACATACTTTAAGCATCTTTATAGCATCTTTAAGCATCCTCAATTAGCGGCAGCATGTGCAGCCAACCGAATACTGAAAATTTGCCTCTGAAGTTACAGGGAGTTGGCGCTGCCGAGCGTCCTGCAAGAAAATCAACAAGCGATTTGAACACTTGCGAGTGATGAGTCGTCGATCACATAATATGTTGCAAAACCCGTCTCAAACTCTGCTCAAGGGCAAAGTTAGCAGCTCCAGCAACCGGACAATTCATACTGCCTAGGCTTTCATTTATGCGCACCATCACGCACCTCATCCGCCAACACCGCATCGACAGGAGCAGCATCCAAAGAGCCCAACGCGTTGAAGGCGTCGAGCACTCCCACCACAGGCGATAGGAGGATGTCCTCACGACAAGAAACAAGGCAAAGCAACGCAAGATAAAGCAAGCCAATATAAGCCAATCCTGCAAGTCAACAAGAGACAAGTCATGCAAGCAAGGAAAGAGAGACAACGCTGGAAAGTCAAACAGATTGAAAAACTGTACATTTAAAAAACGTTTTTAAAAAAAACAGCCAAGCTCTCTACGCAAGGCCCTCTCACCGAGACTTTCGGGCCGAGTCACAACGAGTACATCGAGCACCATTAAAAGCAGTGGATATGCACTCAACACAACTGAGCCCTGAAGTTGGCTTAAGGATACTTAAGTCCGGCATAGGTCATTCCGATCATTCCGATCATTCCGATCATTCCGATCATTCTACCATGTTTTGCCTTCTCAAATCTTCTCGAGTTTGGCCGCTACGCCATTTGCCAAGAGGCTGCTGCCAAGGCCAACCGCCCCACCCAGCTAGGCACATCTTGGACCGCGAGAGCAGTTGCGAACTCGGAACAAAAGTTGAGACAGTTGCCTCAGTCGCTTGGCATTTCCTCTGCTCTGAGCCTAAGACGCACGAAAATAAATAATAAGACTTGAAAAGTAAAAGCCACGTAAGAGCCCTGTTACATCAGGTATCAGCAGAGTGGGTACCACAGTTGACCCCTGGGCAGGCATCCAAAAGAACTTCTGTCACGTGCACATGCAACTTTCTTCTGCAAGTCCGGACGCATTGCAGCAGTTAGAGAAGCGGTGGGGGTTGTCTTTAGATGAGTGACGTTTCAGCGGGTGGTAGGCAGTAGCTAGCCATTGCACTGCCAACTTCAGCAGGATTTGCCACACTTCCTTCGACCACAAGAACAAGAACAAGAACAGTGCAAAAGCCAAGGGAAAAACAAACAATACACAGCCATACACAGCCACAGAACAGGTGGAAACTATTGGAAAATCAGGTTGAAGCAAATGTGATTCCAGCCTCTGCAGAGTGTGGGACTGCACCTAGGGAAATTGACTCCCTGTAGGTGGCACCGGGGCAGCTTCGCCTTGGTATCCACCAAGGTAAAGAAGGTAAAGGATGGTAAAGGTCTGCAAAAAGGTAAAATGTGAAAGATCAAATGGCTGTGGATTTGCCAAAGGGCAAGTGAACAATGGTGGAACAATTATGAACAGCAACAACATCCTAGGTCCTACGACCTTTATATATGCCTTTCACTCATGCAACAACATTTATATACAATCATGAAACGGTAGGATCCCTAGGACACTGTCCTGCACAAACACAACGAACAGGTCGTGTGCGGCCCAAGGGTCGGCGGCATTGAGTGGATGCCAGTCACTGGCAGGTGGCCCGGCGGCATCAAAGCACCGCCAAACGACCACCTGGACCAAGGCATGAAGGCATTCAGTGGCATCGAACTGTTTAACATCTAGAGTTTGCTCTAACGAGATCTCAAGACTTAAGACATCTCACGACACATCTCATGAGACATCTCAAGAATGGACAAACTTGCTGCCGAGGCTCTCAACTCCGTAGACCTCCAATCCAGCATGGAAAAGTCCCAGGCCAAGTGGATGCAGGGTGTTGTTCGCCCCCTGAGATCCCGTGGACACTAAAAAAAGCTAAATCAGTGGCAGTTGGCACTCGTATGCACTCGTATGCTGCAGCCAAATTTGAGACAGAGGGTCTTCACGGGATCTTTATGAGCAGCCTTTGCTCCAATGAGAACAAAACCAATTATAATTGGAATTGTGAATATGTCATATATGTCCCTAGTGCCTCTACAAATGACAAATAGCTGAACACTCAGCCGAACCCTTCAACACAGCGTTGGCCCGCATGAAGAGCGCATCAACTTGGTGAACCGCCTGAAAAGAGCTGATTCTAGTTACATTAATGTATATTAAAGTTGCATGATGAGTATTATGAGTATTATGAGTTACATTCAAGTGATTTTGATTTATTTGGGGGGTTGAATGCTTTTTGATCTTTTTGACAGCCTTCGTCCCATTCAGGTCGTACACATGAAGCCAGGCCTCCGGACCTGGCAGGAAGTGTCATGCTCTAAAGCTTGTCTGTTGGTACGGTAAATCAAGATGGTCTGCCTCTCTACACGAACGCATTACATATATTACATTATTACATTGTATATATATATATTGATATATATATCCCCGTTGACATTTCCCGGGAGACCTTGCGCAAGCTACTTGTAGGTATGAACCTGGGGCCCCCCATTTTGAACCTACAAAAAGCCATTCACATGACCTAAAAACCACCTACAAAATGCAAACCCTCCCATCCATATGTGCCAAGATACGCTCACTACAAAATGCAATCTCGAAAAAATGGATTGCCATTTTGCGAATGTATTTCTGACAACAAGATTTCGCTACACGCATTTTGTAGCAGAATTCACTTGTCAATTGTTTTGGGACTCTTGAAAAGTCAATGTGCATTTTGTAGCTTGGCTGTGTTTGGTCGGCTTTCCTTTTTTCTCACAGCTCTGTGACGCAAATGTCCCACAGTCACAAGCCAGAACTATAGCTCTTTGCTGTCTAGCTCATACGGGTGACTGAACCTCTCCCTTTGTTTCAGACAAAGCTGGCACAGTTTGAACGCTGTAAAATTCACATCCTTGTGCTGGCAAGTTCTGTACAAATGGTAGCTGCGGCCAGCTCGAGTCAAATATATTTCATCAGGAAGCTTCGCTTTGCAAATCTCTTTGACATTTTCATTCTTGAGGCTGACCTTGCTGAAGCACAAACACACCATTGCCGTCAGGAATGATCCCAAAGCTGCGCCCAGCAAAAACGTGAAGAAAAGCACCAACATGAAGTCTTCCATGGCGAACAGAGATGAGATTCTAAGCGGTTCCTGCACGTTCAATTTGAACAAACAATTTCTGAGGCAGGCGCTCACTCTGACAATTTGATTTCACCCAAATTTTATATGCCCATCTTGTTTCAAACAAAAAGTTCACCCAGGAGCACCCTGGATTCCAACAGAGGCAGCCACTGAATCAAAATGAACATGAAAATTTGTCACAGTATGCTCCTACAAAATCAACTGTTCAAACTTAGATATCTACAAAATGAAATGCATGACGCTCACACATCTCAGCACTCTTTCACCCGTCCGCCTGTGGCGTCCCACAGCCTCTTCCTCCCTCATGCCATTATTTGGCTTGTTCTATTCTCAACAATTTTTCACATGTTGAGAGAGCATAGTTGTTCTATGCTAAATCATGCTGATTGTTTTTTCACTCAGCTATTGCAAAGCAAAATTCCAGTGTTCAAATTAATGATAACCATTTCGAAATGGAGTAACCGTGCACCTTATCCAAATACAAAGTTTTGTCTGCTTTAAGATGACTACAAAATGTCAGAACACCTGGAAGTACCTACAAAATGAACGGCTTGTGGACACGGCAGTGTGGACACGGCAGCAAAACATCCAATCCCTTGAAACAGCAACAGCATTCCAGAACTACAATGCTTTCAAACCATGTGACTGGATACGTTGCCACAGATGGTCCAGACGGTTCCCCTACCTAAATCTCAAATTAATGTTGCAAAGATCATAGCCTTGGGCTGCTGATCCTTCGCATTGACACTGTCAGTCAAGCAGAAACAAAGTCTGCAGACACTGTCACGAGCAGCAGCAGGCTAAAACGAGTCAATAGCTCTGAGCCAGCCATTCTGTAGAGAAAAATGGAAATCAATGAAAATCATCTACGTGCAGTTTGGTTCTTTTTTGATTCTGAATTTATAGTAAGGATCAGCAAGGATCAGTAAGGTGTGTTTTTATGTGTTTTTGGTGATGGTGTTTGAAGTCACATCATGTGCGCTGGCTCTGAAGAGGAACACGGGCTACACATCAGCAGGCCTCGGCAGCCTCCATGAACTTGTCGTCTCACTTGTCATCGGTCTGGTGCTCATCTTTGGATTTGCTTGGATTGGACGAGGCAATTGCAGCATAATCCAAGATATCCTTGATCAGTCGCAGCCACCCTTTGCGAAAAGGATCCTTTGCCTGCAACTTCTTCTTGATCGCAGAAATGTGTTTGAAAACAACCTTGCCATATGCCTCTGCAGCACGAGGGTGGCGATACCTGAGGCTTGCAGAAAATGTCGCAAGCAAAAAGCTCAGGAAAGTCTACCCCATTGTATCCTACAGAAGGATGGGTAACCAGGTAAATCCTACAAAAAGGTATGCTTCAGTTTTATTTGTTTACTAGAACCATGAAGATAATATGTATCCTACAGAAGGATGGGTAACCAGGTAAATCCTACAAAAAGGTATGCTTCAGTTTTATTTGTTTACTAGAACCATGAAGATAATATGTCGAATGATCCAAAAAAAAATTGACACTAGAGCAGGGTGGATCACCATGTAAATTCTACATCAGGAAATGCAGAAGAAGGTGCATGTGTTCAATGGCTGGGCCTGCATTTCTCAAGACATCATCCCAGGTGAATTTCTCGGCTCCCTGGAACTTGAGTCTGCAACTTCCCTGTGGTGAGAATGCTGGGGACTTTGGAAAAGCATTGCGATCCAGCTCATTCAACTCCACAATCTGGGCTCTGATCGCTTCACGACCTTGAACTGTACGGCGGAAGGTTGCTTCAGACACCTCCTCTGTGTCTAAATGAACTGGATCACTCTTTTTCTTCTCGCTTTTCTTGGAGGTCTGCATGGCTCTTCTGCGCCTCTTCTTCTTGTTTGGCTGGGTCAATGCTCTTCGCGCCTTCTGAGCCCTCTGCGCCATTGCCTTCTTCAGGGATCGTCCTTTTGCTCCCCGAGTCATCGTCGGGGCCACCTTCCATTGCTTCATTTCCGGTATCCTGCCCAGGACTTCCGCACTTTCAGGAGTCAGAATCACCTTGACTTCTCCGGATCCATCAAGCGGCTGGTGACCTCATTGAAGAAAGGCACTGTTGCAATTCAACAAAAAAGAATCGAAAATACTCAGCAAGAATCCCAAAAGATACAACAGGATGTGCAAAGCTGCATATCCTACAAAATGATGTGCCTCTCTAAATTGACATTTAACTATCATTACCATTCTCATATCTCGGGAAATGGCAATACCGCTTACTACAGAATGATATGCGCTGATTTGTCTAACAACAAGATGATATTCATCTGGAATCAGCAGAACCCATCAACATAGCAAATGCATACAAATGCATCCACAGATGCATACACATGCATACGAATGCGCATACTGCTGCCAAAATACACTCTTCCACATCCAAAATGCACACCAATGCTTCCATCCGAACAGTCCAAGCTGTCGAGGTAGCACTGCAAAACCATTCTCTGGTGCGATCCTGAGGAGCAGAAGCAATTTTATATTTTCTGAATTATTCTCATTGACCTTCTCAAGTCATTGATCCACTCCAAGCATCTTACATCACCTTTAAGAATCAAAAAAATGTTGCAAGTTTGTACCCTGCCCAAGAATGCTGATGTGCTAAATAGTGCAGTCTAGAAGCCACATGATCTCCATCCATATCCAGGGACACTACCCTGAAGGCCATGCAGCTCGCGCATGGCGTTGCTCTGGTGTTGATCTTTGGTTGCTTGACACCGCGCCACACCGTGATCACCAAACCCATTTCCACTCCAGGATTTGGGTTGCCGTCTGGCAAGTGGAACAAAACCACATTTCCAGGCCTTGGTGAATCAGTGTGACTAGGGTGTCTGGCTTAACAAAAAAGCCCACAAACGCAAAACCACAGGCACAAACACACACACACAACACTTACATCCAAATACAAAATGCTATGACGCCAGCAATATCGCTACAAAATGCAATGTGCCCAATCTCTATGGACATGCAAATCACAAAATTGATGCCAAAGCAGCATGATGCGCTCTGGCACCCCAGAGGCGACTTGCAAGTCTTGATTTGCCCGTGTCACCAGCTCGGACCACTTTGCCAAACGCGTCGTGCGGCTTCGATACTCGGCTGTCTCTTTTTCTCGATTCATTTCTGCTATGCGCATTTCATTGTACCTGAACAGGGCCAACATGTTTGTAGAGTTCAAGAACCAACAACATTATGACAAATACCAGGCTTATATATTGAGTAAACTAAGAAAATCTCAAAAGACAGTGAAAACATATTTGAATGGACATAACTGGTTTGGGAATGTTTTGGATCTGGGCATATGCTTAAGCATGTCCATTTTGTGTATTTCTGTTTTGTCTACAAAGGACCCTGCACAGAGGAAAGTCTACAAAATGATGTGCTTCAAATATTTCGACCAAATACTGGTGCCAATTCAACTTTGAGCTCGCACGACGTACGTGGCGAGCATTGGAAATCCATCTGCAATCACATCCACCTGGAGCAGATCTGAGCTTGACAGCATATCGAAAGAGTGAGTTCCATTTGCATCCGCCAGAGGTCATCGCTTCCAGAAGATTGCCAGGCATGAACTCAGTTTTCTGATCTGTCTCATCAACTTCTTCCGGCTCACGAAGTAGTTCCTTCATCTCATCTGCGTCTGCCATTTGATCAATCTCCGGATCATCAAAGGCAGAACGGTCAACAACTGAGGCATCTTCCTCGGGGTCCACCAGAACAGACTCCCTTTGAAGAGAGCCCAGCAGCTTGAAAGCTGGATCTTCTTGGTTGTCATCTTGCACAAAGCAGCCTTCCAAGAATTCATCTGCATCGTCAGGAGAAATTTCCTCAAAACCAAAGGCATTTTCTGGATCACGTTGGCAAAGCTTCCGATATTTGGATTCGAGCTCTTTCTCCGTCAATTCCGATGCAAAGGAAACCAACTTCAAAGCTCCCTCAAACGCACGCTCGCAGCATTTCCTGAACCTGAGTCAATTGAGTTCAGTTCACATTCTCCACAAAGCAGTCCTACAAAATGACAAGTACCAAAGAATTGCCTACAATAAGCCTGGCCAATCATGAATCGCTACTTCAGTTCACATTCTCCACAAAGCAGTCCTACAAAATGACAAGTACCAGAGAATTGCCTACAATAAGCCTGGCCAATCATGAATCGCTACCTAACAAG